CTATCTATCTATCTATCTATCTATCTATCTATCTATCTATCTATCTCTCCTTGGTTGAATCATGAACGTCTCACACACACATATTCCATCGATAGGTACGAGCGAAACCGGAATGAATCTTCTGTTGAAACGGGGAAATATACACTATCACTTTTTTACTCGCTCGTCCTATCGATCCAAGTCGCGTGCAGTGAGCCGCGGGTGAGAGACTTGGCTGTTGGCCAAGGTTGGAGACTTATAGTCTTTCTCTCTCTCCCACACATACACACACACACATACACACATACACACACACACACACATACACTATCGATAGGATGACAAAAAATAAAATAAATCTTCCGCTGAAAACGAGGAAATATACACTGTCACTTTCCGATTTGCTCGTTCTATCGTTCCTAGTAGCGCGCGTGGAGCCGTGGGCTGAATCCCAATGCCGAGTCTGAATCTAATGTCGTCAAGTCTCAAGTCACAACTTTCTCCCTTTCTCTCACTCGCACACACGTACATGCGCATTAGTGAATGCATCTTTCCTCATTCTAACGTTAGATTCATTCTTCTTTAATTTATTTGTTTGCTTACTTATTTATTTATTTATTTATTTATTTATTTCTTCTTTCTTGTTTTCATCGTTGATAGTATTGGGGTGTGACGCGAAACTGGAGAATTACCTTTCTTCTATTATTTTCCTTTGCCGTTGCCGTAATTGTCTTCGTCGTAGTTGTTGATGTCGGAGTCGTTGTTGCAGTTACTATAGTCAGACTTAAACTCGTCGTCTTGCAGGTAAGTGTTTTCAGCCCCCTCGCTTCTTTCCTTCTCCCCTCCTCCTCTCCTTCTCCTCCTTTTTTCTTCGCTTCTCTCTCCCTGACTCTAGATGCTCGGGACGCGTTGTGGCAGGCGCGGATGCGGAGGCAATGTCACAACACGCCGCAGCCTCTCTCCCGAAACCTACGGGATGAGACAAACACCTTCGTCTTCGCTGCCCGCAAGCGACCTCGCACATGACCAGGTAAGCTCTCTCTCTCTCGTTTTTCCCTCCTATTCTTCTTATTCCTCTCCTCCTTCTTCTCCTCCCTCGCGAATCTCCCGTTCTCCGGTTTACTCGCGATACCCCCCTTTGACTCTGATTGCTTTTCTTCCCTTACTTCTCTCCCTGTTCCTCCGGTATCGGGTCCGTGCGATGTCGCGCTGTGGTCGGCCAAGTCCTTGGCGGTTTCGACCATCCGAAACTGCCCTGTTTTCAGGGGTAGATTCACTTAGTGAATCTACTAGAGACGTGCGGCAGAAAAAGGGGTAACAAATCTCGAAAAAGAAAAAGAAAATAAACGAAAAAAAAAAACTACTTACTTCTAACTAACTCGTTGTGTCCATTGTCCCACGGCCCGGAGGTAGCTCGGACTCGATCCCAAGATCCTCTGCATATCAGTCAGTGCCTGTACCTACTGGGCTAGCTCCTAGTTGAGTTCTACTAGGAGCGAATTTGCCCTAAGTAGAGTACAAGGCTCAGTCCAATCAGTCCATAAGGCCAGCGGCCTTACCGTAAGGGGAATCCAGGCCGTTGTAGGCCATCACAACCTGTTACAGCAGGCTAGGCCCCTTTTTATCTAGTTGCCCCGGCCTCATGGTCGAGGCTTTTACTATTTTTTACACATTTTCTATCTCGCGGGGAGTGGTTTCCGGCCTTGCTTTTTCCGACATACTCGACGTTTGTGGACTAGAGCTGAAAACTGCCATACTTCCTCAGTCGTGAACTGACTGAGAAAGACCGTCGCCGCGTCCCACGCGACTCTTTTCCGTTTTAACTAACCTTCTGACCTTGTGGTCGGAGGCTTTATTTATTAACCACTTTGCAGTCTCTGCGCGTGCCGGAATGGCGTGCGCGGTCATTTCATTTACTAACCTCTGTCGTCTTTGCATGCTCTGCGAGCATTCAAAATTCTTTAACCCTTGACTCATGTCTGCTTGTGCCGTGTTTTGGCCCTTGAGGTTTCTAACTTTCATGACCATAATGGTCGAGGGGTTTACCCCAGTTTCTGGTTTTAGCCGTCTTTGTTCTAACAGTTGGTGTCGGCATTGTGTCGACTGCAAAATTATGAGCGGATACCTTTGTAAGGGTATCATCTCCGACAGTCTTCCCAGACCCCATTAAGCGACATCCCCGTCGTTGGGGAATCTATATGCAAACAAAAGGCCTTCTGGCGCGACAGGTTGTCAAAGTCCGATTTCCTGGATGAAGTTGTGGTTTGAAGTCTCTCACTATCTCCCTTGGTGCGTCCATACTGCCAGGATTTTAACCTGGGTCTCCCACATACCAACAATTGCAATACCAAAGAAATATTATTCCATATGACTCAAAGTGGGGATACTGGATGTGTACTACAGTTACAGAGGTCACCAAGGAAGATAATGATAGCCTCTCCCCTCAACTTTAGACTTTATTGCCAAGATCTCGTTGGGTGTCCTTTGAGTTAGGGATCATTTCTGAACCCAATCATTTGGACGCGGATTTCAACCTAAGTCATCTTACCGTCCCACTTGAAGTCTAATGCAAGGGGATCGGCACCCTCGGTCTCAACCCACCAGAGTCGGTTGATCAGGCCGGATCTGCGGCTCACCGTGTTGTTATTCTAAGGGTGGTACTTGTATAGGTTACGCAATACAGGTTAAAATCCTCCTATCATAATATCTAGACCTGACTCTTGATCCCGCCGATATCTACCTAAATCGATTCCCTCATTAGAGAGGGCCTCCCTTAAGGTTTCAAGTTCTAGGTCGTAATCGGAAGGCCCGCTGCCTGGTTATACTTGGTCATCAGCCCACTCTGGGAGTTACGTCCCAACGATGCAAATTTTCCACCATAGGCTTGGTGACTCTTAATCCCTCAGACTGACCACTTGAAGTGGATGATCGATGATCTTTTCAAATATATATATATATATACATATATATTTGTCCAAAAAAAAATTCCCCCTCGTCAACCATCTTTCAAATGGGCGATCGATCTCATTATTCGAAAGAAAATAATGTCATTGATAAGAATGATGTAAACATGGTTATATCCGTTTCTGAACGAGGGGCATCATCAGAGCCACTTAGGGGTCGTGTCTCCCAGACCTCGATGACAGGCTGGATAGACACACGTCTCGGGGATCTTTCAACCAAGAGGAAAGCCAACCAAAATATCAATAAAAAGTATGAAAAACATTTGTTTGATTCCTTGTTTTGTCAGAAGGCAAAAGAAACATCCATTCCATTCATAACATATATGTCCCTGACTCGCAGGGATTTTCGGATGCATCAAAACAAAATTCTTGACTTTCTCACATCCGCGTTTTATGGTATTTTTCCGAAAATAGTTACATAAGACAAAAAGAGATTGACATTTACAACAATGCATTCTGTAGATGTATAAATCAATATCATTATTTCTTGAATACTTAGGTGTTTTTCTGAGCATCCTAGTTCATTGATGACACAATTTGTATGCAAAATTCAACATGCATGACCAGATACTTGACAAAACACAAGTGTGAAAGTGAAAATGTAATTCCGGCGCCATATCCCATAGACCAATAAAGAAAAACTCATATGTATAAATTACAGAACCACCGGTTTCACTTTCTAAAATACAACATATCGATCCAACAAGTCTTCTCCTAATGCTAATAGTCAAGAAACAAACAGAGTATCCAACCTATATCTACACACCCTACCTAGAATTGTACTTGAGTAAGCAGCCGACTCACTTTAACCCTTCCTCTTACTATAATGTCAAAAAGATATAAGATCTCAACCTCAAAGACTGGTAATATCTTATTCTAAATTCCTAAAGAAAGCCCTAGCTGCTCGTACAACTGTACTCTGAATTCCTTCTTACCCTTCTTGATCAGGTTACCTTCTCTGTCAATAAGTCTGTCACTCCCATCAAGACTGACCAAACCTTTGTCCCTGTCTTCCTGGAAACCAGGACATTCTTCCCTTCTGTGGGCACCTTTCATGCAATACCAACATAATCGTTTTTCTTTTCCCCTGGTCCTTTTTGTTTTGTCACTGAAGGTCAAGAGAAGCTTCCCCAATTTCTCCATCTCCCCCTCCTGAAGCCAATACCTCTAGATATGATTTTTTTTATCCTTTTCCATCATTTAACATGGTAAGAGTAAGAGTTTTATCCCCTTCCTGCACTTCCTTTTACTTTCAGCCCTTCCACTTCCTTCTCCAGCTTCTCCCTTTCTGTTTCCATTCCCTGACTCTTAGTATCATGAGCGATTTTTAGGGCTTCCACCTTTAACTCCAACTTCTTTTGCTCAAATTTTCCCTTCTCCATTTCGCCCTTCAAGTTCTCCACTTCCTTCTCCAACTCAGTCAGTTGTGAATCCCTTTTTTCTTCTCTCGCCCTTAGCCTCAGAATCTCTTTCAGGATTTCAGGGATTTGGCTGGCTACTCCCTGCATGAGCAGCTCCTCCTTTTCCTTTACCCTGTCATGAAGTTTTTGCATCGAGGATTTCAAATCCTTTTCCCTTTCTTCCCTTTTCCTTCCTTCTTTCACTTTCCCCAACTTTTCGACCATATCAGCTTCTTCTTCAAGAAGTCATTCACAATCCTCTCCGTTCATCTTATTGAGCTTAATTAGCCTATCCACATCTGAGGCCAGTTTGGAGCTGGTCACAGTCTCAGACAAAACTATATCTTTCATTCTCACTTTCCAGGGAGCGTTCATGGGCGGCTCATTTTTCCTTAGGCGAATCACAGCTTGGTTCCTCCACTCCCTGTTCTCGTCTGCCTTTCTCTGCCTTTCTTCCCCAGTTAACCTCCTCGTCCCATGTCTTTGAGAGGCTTCATGGAGGATGTTGTTTCTGCTCTCACTGATAGTCCAGCCTCCTCCATCTTTCCCTTTCTCTTCTCCTTTCCCTTTTCTTCCTCTTCCTTTTCTTCGGGAGATTTGTCCCGTCCTTCTTCCTTCCTGGCTATACGCCTTTCCTTCCCCTGCACCTCAGGTATTTCCATGTTACGAACAAATTTTCCCTCTCCCTGGCGAGGGGGTGTCTCATTCCCATTTTTCCGTTCTGCCATTTCCAACCCTTCATTCCTTCTTCCAATCCACACCCCTTGTTCCTGGAACAACTGCCTCTTCTTCTGCCTCTGTATGCTTAAAGGATAGACCTTTCTCATCTCAACAAGAAAGCCACCCCAGGTATCTGACCCTTTTCTGATTGTTCTGACAGTCTCACGTTCCCTGGGTGTTACCTTGATCGCGGCCTGCTCCAATTTTTCCTCATCATCCCATCTGTTCCTTTCTGCACAGAGACCGATGCTATCCTCGAAATCCTCCAAATTTGTTCCGTCGAAAGTGATGTTATCTTCTATTTCATCTCTTCTCAAATCTGCATACTTGGCCCACATAGCTACTTTAAAGCTCTGCCATCCAAAAACTTTCATGGCCATTTCCTCCATCGCCTTCCTGCATTCTCCCACTCCAGTCACATTTCTCATCATGGTGGGCACATCCCACTCTCTTATGATAGCGTGATTTTCATATTCCCTCAAAAACTGCCTCACGTTATCCCCTTTCTTGTAAAGTGGCATTCCCGCAGAGTCTCTTGTTACCATTGGATGCCTCAATCGTTCTTCCTCTCCAGGAATAGACCTGGTATGACCCACAATCCCTCTCTTCTGCGATATGGCAACTTCTCCCTTAGGGTCAAGCCTCCGGTCTTAACTTGAATTTCTTCAGCCTGGACCCAGAGATCCAGTCATTCCTTGGTGTCCCATCCATTTCTTCCAGCTCGTAGGCTCCATAATTTCCTCAACGCTTGACCTTGTAGGGTCCCATCCACCTCCTGTCCAACTTTCTTCACCATTGTTTTTCCAGAGACGAGTCGTAAAGTAGCACTACGTCTCCAATTTTCAATGGCTCTTCTCTTACACTTGGGAGCTTATCCCATCTCTCCTTGTCCTTCCCTCGGCTATCTGCCACTCTGTCTGCCGCTTCTTGGATTCTATCTTCCGTTATGCTGACTTGCCTTGCTCGGATATCCAGTAATTCCTCTAGGGATAGGTCATTTTTCAGATCTTGCTTCCGCCAAGTCTTTAGAAAGCTTTCTATTGGAAAGGTGGCATGTCTTCTATACCACAAAGTCGCAGGAGCATATCCTGTGGTCCTCTTGACCGTGATGTTTTCTACGAAAAACACTGTCCGTAGGAACTTAGGTCATAAGTTAGGCTTCCCAGCGGTCTTCTTAGCCAGCAGATTAGTGATGGTGCTATGCCCTCTCTCTACTGGTGCATTCGCCTGAGGGTGTGCCCTGGTCGTGTATCTGGCAATGACCCCGAGATCATCCAAAAGTTCTTTTACCTCCCCGCATATAAACTCAGATCCTCTGTCCATTATGAATTCCACCACGAAAGGGTATCGGAGGTAATATTCTTTAATACAATCAGCCAAAACTGCCCCAGTCTTGGTTCGAATGACTTTCCTATTAACAAACCCTGTAAGGTTATCCCTAACATCACAGATATAGTTATATCCCCCAATCCCTTACGGCATTGTCAAAAGATCCATGTGGATAACTGCCCCTATATCTTTAATGTACCTTGGATGTAAAGGCTCCGTGTTCCTGATGGGTGATTTGATTTGGCATGGTACACAAGATTCGCAGTAAGTCCGGATCATCCCATACATTCCTTCCCAGAAGTACAACTTAGATATCTTCTTGACTGTGGCGGCGAAGCCTCTGTGACCACCTACTGGTCCATCATGGAGAGCTGCTATGACGTCAATCTGACGATTTCTGCCACAAATGACCCTTCTAGGAGGCCCACGTTTATCTCTGATAAAAAGGTGTCCTCCTCGTACTATATAGTGATCTCTCATGCGGAGGGTCTTTTTACTAACCTCTCTATTTCTCTTGTCCCCTAAGAGAATAAATCTCATCTCTAGGTGGAACCCGCCATACTCCTCTTCTCGAAAATCTTCCGAGATTTCACCTTGCTCAAACTTTTTTCCCTCTAATTCCTCACTGAACTCGTAGTCATCTCCCAGTACTATCTCATCTGGTTTTACCACTTCCTTGTCATCCTCTGTCTGGACCTGTAGGAGAGAGTTAACAAGGTAATATACTCTCTCCATTGTCAGCAAGTGAGTTTGTCTCACTCCAGCCTCAATTGTTACCGGATCGTCTGTCAAACGGTAAGTCTCTGCCAAGGCTAGTTCAGCCATCCATTCTCCGTTCCTTTCTCCCCATGAGTCCTCAACGAAAGGTTTCGACACTAGACCTTCCATTTTTACGAAGGTTGCTGGCGCAAACCACATGGGTTTCCCTCTCCTGGCCTCCTTATCGTTAACACTTAGCTTTCATGAGTTCACATGGAGCTGCACACCATCTACCGGTGGTGCTTCTTCTTTGGACTCTCCAGGCTTCTCCCATTCTATCCTTCTCAATCCATCGGCCCCGTTCTTACTTTCTGGGATACGTTCCAGCTGAAAGTCGAACATCCAGATGTACGTGAGCCATCTGGCGATCGTGGGATCCGTAGGAGTGAAGTTCTTGAGAGAATACATAAGCGTTGTTGGATCTATCCTCAAAACAAACCTCCTCCCGTAGAGGTAATGCCTGAAGATGTGCAAGCAGTGCAACACAGCCAAGGTCTCTCTCTTGAATTGAGAGTAGTTCCTTTCAGTAGTGTTGAGGGTTCGACTCTCAAATCGCAATGGTCTTTCCTTTCCTTCAGAATCAGTCTGTATCAGAACTCCTCCCAGGGTTGTTGGTCCATCGTCGGTTTCTACAATGAAGGGTCGTTCAATAATGACATCATAGTCTGGAACACCCAGCACAAGACCCCCTTCCTCAAATTCCTTTTTCAAGTCCTTTACCACCTGTTCCTGCTTCTCTCCTCATTCCCATTCTTGATTCTTCCTTACTAATTTCCTCACATGTTCTGTCTTAGTGACAAACCTTTCAATGAACACTCTCCAGAACCCACACGTTCCAAGAAAACATCTCACTTCACTGACGTTTCTGAACGGCGTAGGCCATTCAATGATCTTATTCGTTTTCTTGGTGTCTGGACGACGTCCTTATTCATTGCACAGGAAACCCAAAATGGTGGCTTTCTTCATGCAGTGCTTGGATTTTGCTCCACTGGCCGTGAGGTTGTACTCTTGTAACAAATCAATTACTTTTCTGAGATCGTTGACATGATCCCAGACAAACTTTCTTACGTCAAGTGCAACCTCTTGCTCATCTTTCTCCATTGATTCTTTTACCGCAAGGTCATCAATATAGGGCTCAGTAATCTGCGGGCTGATTGATTGCATGATTCTTACCATGCTCCTCTGCACCATGGCTACTGCGTTTGTTCATCCCTGGGGTGCCACGTTCATATGAATCAAACCTTTGGAAGTGTGCATCGCAGTGATTGGCCTATCAGCCGGATAGACTGGAAACTGATCGTAACCAGAATACAGATCTATGAGCGAAATAATAGTCCTTCCTGCGCATGCCTCAGAGAGCTGATCTGCGTTAGGAAGCCCACCAACATCCCTAATTGTTACAACGTTCAATTTCTGCAAATCCTGCACCCACCTAAGCACTCTGTTTGACTTAATAAAACAGAACCATAGTGATGCGTATGGTCCGCTAGAGTACCCTGCCACATGCGATCCAATCTTCCCATCCAAATACTCCACTACTTTTCTTTGATCATCGGGGTTTGGGTATCTGGCTCCTCTGATATTCGATGGTTGGTGAGGGACTGTGTGGATTCGGATCATTCCTACTTTATCCACATCTAACATACCCCTCTGATCATCATTGAAGGCATAGGCACGATGTTTTTCCTCCATCAACCCTACTACCAGCGCCTTCTCCTGCTCTGTCAGAAAACCCGGTTCCCCAATAATCAAATCTCCCTTTGTCTCTTCATTAATTCTGCAACTCTCCTCATCCCATCTCTCTTTCATCTGCCCTATCAGTTCCCTCTCTTGTTCGTAGTACACATTCTCCTCGTGTGTTACTAGAACTGGAATTGGGTGAATCTTCTTATCTACTGTCTTGTACCTCCTTTTGCTTCCTTGCTTGAGCCCACCCCTAAAAAATGTTGGCCGCTTGCCTGAGCATACGGCCCCTGCATTCTTGCTTCTTGTGTGGATGGCGGCTTGTAAACCAGTTCCAACTTTCCTCCTTCAGGGTAATCATATAACTTGTCTGCAAGAGCTTTGATTGCTTCTGGTTCCTCCATCTCAAAAGCGGAGACCATATACATAGTTTGGTCAATGTTTGTCAAGCTTAAAACTAAGCCTTCATTCTCCTCTTATTCATCTTCCTCATCAGATTCCAACTCCAACTCTTTCCTCCTTTCCTCTGACTCCTCAAAGGTATATGATCCCGCATTGAGGCGGTTCTTTGAGCTATGAGGACCTGTATTCTTACAGGTGATGACCTCAAAGTTCCCGCACGCTAGGTCACATAGAATCACAAACATGGTCCCATCATGCTTGTTCATGATGAGAGCCTCCGAGCGCGATAAAAAAAACCTTCATAGTAATATAGGAAGATTCAAGCTGGGCATGATATAAAAACAAGAACGAACCTTTACTCGCCCAACTTCCACTATCACATTTGATGCTATGCCAGTATATTCTGACTTTCCACTTGCCCCATTAAGGTATTCACAATCTCTCTCGTCAATTTACAGTCCCAGCTTTTTAGTTGTTCCCGAGTTCATGATGTTCATCTCTGCTCCTGTATCTACCATTCCCGGACAACCCTTTCCCCTGATGTTAACATCAATGGACCCTGTTCCTACCGACTTCTAGTCCATTTTGCTGCCAGCAATCGTCCAGTTGACTTCTTTAGATCAAGTCTCCGAGCCTAACTGTTGCCACTTTTTTCCTTGCCAGCTTAGCTTTGACCAACTCTCTGAGTTTTGGCGTTGTTGCCAAAATCTCTTTCAGTTTTAGCAACTCATTGTGTCCCTCAAGAAGTTTGTTTACTAAATTTTTCAGTTCCACACCTTCTTCAATTGAGGTTTGGTACCTCCACTTCTTCTTCGACTTCTCCCCAACCTTCTCCTTTCCATCATTAGTTTTACGTTTTTTGGCCCTCTGTTCTGCGCGTTTGTTCTCTTCTCCTCTAAGCACCTCATCTTGATCCTCCTCATCTTCTCCTATATCGATTGAGGTTTCTTCCTGAGGTGGTAAAGGAGCCTGAGCCGGTTCCTTGGACGTATTACCCCCCTTCGATTTTCGTGCGGTGTGGGGAGTATAATTCCTTAGTTGCGTCTGATCCAGCGGCCAGAGTTGCTCGCACTGCTCTGGCGTTGGATATCCTTGACTCGGAACCTTCTCTTCGTCTACGGTCAACAACCCATCTCCTAATTTGTACTTCCTCGGCACTTCTTTCTTGAAGTCGTCCCAGTTCCCCTGGGCATCGGTTACAATCCTTTCCACATCTGGACGAAGCTCCCACCATACATATTCATATAACTGAGCGAATTTCTCAGCTGGGGTTAAACGATTGAAGACCTGCTCTAGTAACTCTAGCCAGTATGAGACCCTTTCTCCTGTGAACGGAAAGATTTATATCCGGGGTAATTGCGACCGCCTGATGTTTCTATTATCCAGTAACTTAGCGACGTTTGCTGCAATAAAGGAACCTTGTCCAGTGCCATCCTCCATTTTCCCTCAACCTTTGGTTGATCTGTTTATCACATGAAAGAAAACAACAATGAATTATTTTGAAATTTTCGTCTTTTGCTTATAGTACTGACTTACTAATGTCCCCTTTTTGGAATACTCCCCTCTCCTACTTAAATTAGATTTCATAACTTCTGACTCTTCATCAATCATGTCTTTCGACTTCCTCGATTGATACCCAATTCCCAGACCACGAATCGTACATCATCCCAAACATTATGGGGAGACCGTCGATGCGTATTTTAATATTCATTTTAGCCTTGAGTTTCTTCTAGAAGGTCTCTCTAGGCTCTGTAAAATCTACCCGGACATAAGCCTCAACTATGGACAGTATCTCCTCAAACTCTCTATCTGCCAATCCTAATCCCATTTCGAGATATAAACGATAGAGAGCCTAGGGCGTAGAAAAAGCATATCCGGTCTGTGGAATGGCCGAAACGGTAAACGCCGCTTGCTCAACATTGGTTTGCCCTTTGAAAGCTTCATCAACGATGAAGTCTGGGAGATCTGTTTGGACGTACTCGGTGGGATAGGAGAAATCTGATGCCCATTTTGTATCTGTTATAGATATAATGGGTCGAAGTTCTCCACAACTTGTTTCTCGAACTTTCTCGTTGAAAACGGCCTCTGTCATTTGGACATACTGACATATGGGTTGAATGTCTCAGAGTGCCAAATCTACACCATGCATCCTCCACAGATGTGCTGAAAGATACAAGGTGGCTCGTACTATTACATTCTCCCGATCTAAGGTATGTCCAGTTTCGACCCATACAAATGTCTTCGGACCAATTGAGACGCCACACCAAGAAGTAATTTCTTATTCCCTTTCAGTCCATCCCAGGGGTAATGACATCTTCAGTCCCTGAGGTGTGCGAACAGGCAATTCAACTTCGAACCTTTGAACGACATATGATATCTTGGCTGTTTTCTTGGTACCATGTTAGAAGAAAGAAAATCAGTGCATCTAAGTGTGAGATTGACAATCTATTCCCTCTTGTCCGCTTCCTTATACGATTGTATATAAACTTCCTATTAATTAGCATCCTCCCCGTTTAGGCAATGATCCTTAATGCTTACCGTTATACTTACCACCATTCTTTCTCAATATCTTATCCAATCCCAATTACCAACTCTTAAGGCCTCGCGGCCCTATTAGATACCCCTGTGATATGAGAAAAAAGGAAGTCAGGGTAATACAAATCCCGAAATACCATTGGAGGCAGTGGTCATCTTCCATGGTCCCCGCCGTTACATACTTTCTTAGACCTTAGGTTCCCCTTTTGATACCCAAAACATTCCTTGACACATCTCTTGTTTCTGGATTTTGCTCATTTTTCTCAATTGTCCAGTTCGTCCGAGGACCCCCAATCTCTGTACCAAAATCCCCTGACCATGCCAAAAAGAGAAGGAATATCGTCTATAAAAATTTCAATACAGAATTCCTTACGGAGCTTCTTCCAATATGTCATACGATTGTCCAGCCAATAACTTTGCAGATATGCATTCACAATGCATAAGACATCATAGAAATCCCTTTTTGCTAGTTTCGGTCCCATTTCCAAGTATRGACAGTACATGATATCAGGYGCTTTAAASTCAAAGCCCCTTTTTGGTACCGATCGTGCCRCGAGTAMGGCCCRCTCTACATTCTCCACTCCTGAGAARGCTTCGTCGATTATGACTTTAGRAARAGTTGTTTTGACATTTATAGTCGRATAGAYGAAATCTTCCRCCCACTTTGCTTSAATTGATCGCAAGATCATTCCTTCTCCTCCCCTATTCACTTTCCGAGAAAACGCTTCGAGTACTGATCCAGCAGTCAGAATATATTTGGAAAGAGAACGACTTTCTCCTATCGCGAGGTCAATTGAAAGTGTCTTCCAAAGAAGTGCAGATAGGTAGAGGGTCACTCTTATTATCGCACATCTTCCTCCTGTAGTCTTTCCAGTTTCGACCCACATAAAGGCTTCTGGCCCTATCGAAATTCCACACCATGCATCCATATCTTCGCCCTCTTCCCACTTCCTTCGGAGTAGTGTCATTTCTATCTCTTTGTCTTTTTGCTGGGGTAAGTTAATCGGATAGAACTCAACAACGAACCACATTTTCGGAGCCATTTGGTACCCTGTTTACACAATACGCAAAAGAAAGAACCTTATTTTTAGTTCACTATCTAGTACCCTTTTACTGCAATCTAACCTATATTGATCTCTCCTTAGTTCAGAAAGTTTTGAACTAAAAGAGGATCTATTGCCTTAGTCAAACGGACAATCTTAGCTTGCCTAGCCGTGAGAGTTAGCTTGTGAGAATAGGCTGATCACTCCCCCTTGTCTTGATAAAACCCATATTTTCTTATTCACTCCTTGCCACTTTGGCATGCTCATCGTTAAACCATCCTTCACCTGTTTTGAAGATGTTTGAGCATTGATCACTTCATTTCCGTAGACGTGTCCTATGGTCCAACACTCAGTTTCCCGTCATCTAACAAGGCTTCACTAGCCTTCCTTTATTTGTTGTACTATTCCAATCCCTAATCCTTATATAATCTTTTTATATAACAAGTAGGACACTAGTCCACAAATTTCTATTTGACATATCAGAAATAACAAAAGCGAAATACATAACATTCTATCATATGATGCAGGTTGGGAAACAATAGGAGGATCAGGAACATGCGGCGAAGGTTGTGATGTCGATAAGCGCGGCTAAGGAAGGATTGTCAACTGCCTTTCTGGAGCCGAGGAAGATGGTGATTTGTAAGGTCCAAATCGGGGCCGGCTAGGTGGCTCAAAACGAGGCGGAGACGCACCATAACGCCTCTCAAACTTAAAAGCATAGTAAGCCATTTTTCCTGGCGACGGAGTGCATTTACGCCACTCTTCCTGATGTTTACGCGCCCTTAACCCTTCCTCCTTCTCTTCTAGTCCTTCATCATACTCTTCCTCCCAATCACCTCGTTCCTTGGTCAAGTCTATGGCTCTATCGACAACCTTTCCTAGCCTTCCACCTCTTCCTCTTCCGGTGCCACTCCCACGACCCTTAAGAGCCATATTTAAAGATACGGATAACTTCCACTTTTTCTCACTGTTTTGTCTCCCTACTTAAAAATAACCCTTTTGTCCTCGTCGATACGTACTAATACTACTATCCTATCTACTAACCTTTATCTTTGTCGTTTTGCCTAGATCATCAACTTACCACACCCGAGTTCGTTCACTAAGGACCTGGGCTGGAAAGCGAGATCCCCGGCAACGGCGCCACCGGTCGCGCGCGGCGGTCCTGCACCCCGTTGGGAGCGTTGAACCTCACGGTCGTGTCACGCAGGATTTATTTTCGAAGAATCAACTCGTTACCACTCCAACCGTGCGCGCGTGCCATACCTCTCACGACGCCCTGCGGCAGGTCGGGACGTCGCGAGGTACAACTTACCTCTACCCGAGGGGCTGTCACCACCCTCAGGTAGGCGTATCCCTGTTGAGCTACCGACCCACGTACGGAGGCTTTTACATGCCTGAGCAGAGGTAGGTCAACCGAGGGCGTTTGCTCCATCGCTATAGCACTAAATGGAGTACGTGCGGTAAGATACCTAGAACTGACCCGCTACGTGTTTCAGGTTAAACTTTTTAACGGTAGTCTATTTCCGCTCTATGCTTTAATTTTCTTGATGATCGAACCTGTCCGACTTTCCTAACTGCTAAGACTCTCTATCCTACTGATCAGATTATGTCACAACTGTTAACAAATAGCACAGGATTTATATAAGACCAAACGAGTATGAAAGTATTACTGTCGGGAACCCTTTCCACTGTCACAAGTGTTGTGTGCCCAGGACTCTTCACGATGTCAATCTCAGATTTAATCCAAAACCCACGAACAAAACAGACCTGCACATGATAATGCAAAGACAATCCACATACCATGCACTTGCAGAGTCAACCATCAATCCACACCTCAGACTATGTCCCTCACTTCCCAAACCATGTAATGCAGCTCTATCTTTTTCTGAGACGTAAGCCCAGCCCCCTCACAT